ATTAGGGCGAGCAAGATGCCCTGGTTCCCAAAGCTCTGCTCTAGGAACAGGCCTGACACCTTCTGCCTTTTGTGGTGGTTGACAGTGAGGGTGGGGACTTTTGCAGTGTTACCACAACTCACCATTCAAACAGCTCACAGACCAGATTCAGGAAGTAGCAGCAATGTAATAGGAAGGCTCTGCTTAACCCAGGCTGTGTGCAGCCTGAGATTCAGCTATGCATTAGACATACAGAGGACCTGCCTGTTGTCTTTGCATGGTTCTGAGGAGCAGTTTATTCTAAGGGACGTGTGAGAGCACTTGAAGGGCACAAGACTAGTGTGAAAGGGAAGGCAATTTTGAGGGTGTTCCTCAGGGCCCTGCTTCTGCCCAGTGCCTTCCAAGGACAAGTGTGACCACCTGGGCAACCAGGCAAGAGAAAACTATGTAAAAGAGACACTTCACTGAAACCTCTGAGGGACCTGTGAGCACAGGACTTCTTCTTTATGGGAACTAGGTAACAAAGAGGAAGGACATGAGAGAAATTTTCCAATGCAATATGCTGTAGCCTGTGGCACACTTAGCCCCTTTCTTCCACACAGGAAATAACTAAAAGCAGACACCTAGTCAATATATTGCTAGATCAGACTTTAACTGAAGGGGTGAGATAAACAATTGGTGAAAAAAATTTAATACTATGCTAATAATAACAATTTCCCTAGTTTAAAGAAATGTAGGCAAGAAGTCAAACTATTCACAGCAGGTCCTCTTATGGTTGGCTTTAGTTCTTAACTCTGTCCTGGAGTCTGTGTCTTCCTATAAGAAAATTACCTTCATTGTACCTCCTATGTAAAATGCTACACTTTCAGCCTTTGCTGAAATCTCTTCCACACATAAAATGGATGGCCATACTTCATAATTTACAGCCTTTTCAACATAATATGTATCCAGAATTTGGAACTGTTTAGTCAAGAATAAGGGAATCCAACAAGACAGTTCGTTGTGTCCATTAGTGTGGGGAAGCACGGGGCTTGGTTGGAAAATATGTAAGGAGGATTCTCTGAAAGGTAAGGGGCCTCTTAGGAGGACCTTGCCAAAGGCGGCAGCCCTGCCTTGACTTTTCCAAACAATTCTGAGCTCCGGGTGTTTTGCTGGAATCTCTATGTTTAGTCTTAAACCCAACCTTGTAGAAGCATGAGCTTTCTCAAGGATACTTACCCTGCTGATTGTATCTAGAGGTTAATTTTAGTTCAAGCTATTGTTACAATAAAAGCCTAAGGAGGCAGGCAATTGAGGCTGTTTTGGTTTCTAAAGCCAACCAGCCCCTTAGCCTCTCTTTCACAGAAACATGTGTTAGAGTAATCTATTCATCTGTCGCTCAGGGTCTGCTGGTCATCCCTGGCACATTAGCACTCTGCAAAGGACTATAGAAGTGTCCAGAAGACATTGGCACTGCAGTCAGATCCTCTTTAACATTTCCCTCAAGTGTGAGTTACAAAATCCCTTCTTTGTTCTTTCAATTGTCTAGCAGGTAACTATAAAATTACACACACACACACACATACACACACACACAAAATCTCCTAAGCAGAAGTTGAATTCTCAAAGACAATATACTTTGTTAATACAGTGTTGACCCACAAATATTTCTTTTTAAATTAAACTGATAAGCTAAAAATCTAGATTTTTCCCCCCTTCTTTTATAAGTAATCAGCTGATCAAGCATACTGGGCCCATATTTCTACATGGCGATGGCCCACTTTTCATATGGGGTATCTAAATAGTCCCCATGTACAGCAATCATCATCACTTTGTATGCCTTTCTAGGCATGTCACTCTTTGACAGTGTCTGCCTAGGCCAGCCGTGGGCAAACTATGGCCCGCGGACCAGATCCGGCCCGTTTGAAATGAATAAAACTAAAAAAAAAAGACCGTACCCTTTTATGTAATGATGTTTACTTTGAATTTATATTAGTTCACACAAACACTCCATCCATGCTTTTGTTCCGGCCCTCCAGTCCAGTTTAAGAACCCATTGTGGCCCTCGAGTCAAAAAGTTTGCCCACCCCTGGCCTAGGCCCTGCAGACACTTGAATTTGCAACCACTACCCTCACTCCTTTTCAAATTATGTCCTCTGGAGTCAGAATAAGAAATAGGCCTATTGCTGAAGAATAAACCTTGTAATGATGGTTTCATTAGCAAAAACATGAGGCTACAACTTTGCAATTACCATCTGTAAGTGTCCAACTAAAATCTTTCATATTTTAGGCAATTCACCAAAGGTCTTTCCATCTCAACCTTGCTGTTTAATAAGTATTTATAAAATGTGCTCGTTTTTGTAAGTGGGTGGATGTTTTGCATCCTGATGCTTTCTTTTCCATTTTATATACTGAAACACATTAGAAACTTCAGTCAAATTGGTTGAGGTAAACTAGTTATCTGTAAATTAGTCTAAACTCACGCAAGTATGCTTTTTAAATGAATAAATTACTAAAAGAGTTTTTTTCATTTGAATCCTGTGTGTTTTGTCCATTTTGAATTACATGCTGTGGAATAAATTATAGTGCTAGCTGAGACATTTTTATCCCCAAATCCAGAATTCTTGTTTGAAGCCCTCCACTGCCATTCCAACCCATTGTTTAAACTTGACCTCCTGCATTACATATGAAAATACAATGGAGCACTTCATTTAATTGATTAGATAGGTATTGTAATAAGATTGTTATGTGCTAAATGGAATCTCCATTGCCAACGAAAACTTTATTCATATTTTGAAGGTGCTAAAACTTGTGAGACTAGTTTGTGCACTGGTGCATCTCACAGTGCTCATTTAAACTTTGCCATGGTCTAGTCACTCACCACTGGCTTAAAAACAACAATAAAGAAAAGGTGGTCTTGTTGCATTTGTAGTGCACACCTGATTAACCAACTTCCATGTAATCAATTAACTAAATTAACTGAACCTTTCCAGTGCTTTGGCAAAAACATTGATTGATTCCCACCAGCACCTTGAAATCTTGGCTAGCAATCTATTCTATAATCTGCCCAGCAATTCTCCCATGAGTAGAGTTTTATACTCATGAATTCACTGTTTCCAAATCTGTTTATGTTTGCTGATGAACTATATGTACAAGAAAGAAAAAAGTTCTTTAAATATGAAAATTAATCTGAGTGTTTTAGAAAGACTTGATAAAGGCATGCTGCTAAAAACCATAGCTGCCAAATTTGGGATAACAAGCCAACTGTAAAAATATGACTTTAAAAAAAAGGATAAAAATCAAGAGGGATTCTTCCTTCAGCTTGCTCTTGCTCAAGTTCTTGTTTCACTTTAATACAAATACATATATTATACTTACTATGTGCCAGACAAATGTTCTAAGTGACTAACATATATTAACTCATTGTATTCTCTTACAGGTGGGTACTACTATTACTCTCATTTTATAGATGAGGAAATGAAAGTTCAGAAAGATTAAGTGTTCTAAATAATTACATATTGGGGCCCAGTTTTAAACCTAAGAAGTCTGACTTCTAGCTGAAAACACAGGATAATATAGGCATTGCTTTACATGTGTGTTTTATTCTTTAAAAAGACAATTCTGAACAATAATCATTAGATTCATATTCAAAGAAGAGTTTAGCAAATCAATGAATTATGTACATTTTAAATGAAAAACTGTTGAAGGTATATAGTTATTATTTTATATGATTAACTAACCAACCACTGATTCCAATTGAGTTACAAAAGAAGCTTTCTTCTATCAAAAGAAGTAAAACACTGAAAATCTTTCCCCTCCCTCCCTCTCTCCCCGCCCCCTTTTCCCAGGCATATAACAAAGGGAAATTATCTTTTGGCACTGGACAAGAAGTGTGAGTTTGCATATTTAAAGACTGCAAAGTCTTGTTAATGATAATCATAATGTTTACTATAGATTGGTTATAAACCAAGATGCTAAACTGAACCTGAAGCAAGCAGACATTTCTTATCTGACTTAGTCTTGCATGATTTCCTGTCAAGCATTTACTATAACAAATGACCCACTTATTTACTGCCACAGAAAAAAAGCATTGCAGAGCCTCTTTGTTCTGGGGAGACAACAGGGCTCAGGGGACCAAGCAGTAGTTTGGGGTGACAGGGTCAATGAACACTAACCTGTCTTTGCCATTCCTTGCCTTTGGGATCTTAAGCAAAGAATTTATTTATACGTCCATTCATTCATTTAATCACTCCCTTTGAACTCAAAGGGGACACCACAGTAGTTGTAAGGAAAAGCTAACTAAATAATATGAATGAATAACATAAAATGAATAATATGAAAAACATAAAATGCTTTACTTAGTAATTCTTTTAAATCTTGAAATACATATACTTTTTAAATCAGATTTTTTTATTATCTAAACTATTCCCTGAAAATAACTAGGGAATTCAAAATAAACTTTTAGAGATATTGTAAAATCTTTTAGGTTACTATGAAAAAAAGAAAAGAAAAACTGTTTCAGAGCCCAAACTGTTATCCTATTTTTAAAATTATTCTGATTTCAAAATAGAATAGGACTAAGGTTTATTTAATGTATTCATCGAGCAAACATTTAATAATGACCTACTATGTGTCAAGAATATAGTCTATCCCTTGAAAAATTAGACATACTGCTCTGGATACAATAAAATAATGAAATGCTGGTGAAGGGAAAGAAGTGAATGAAATTAATTTTTCTGCCAAATGCCCATAATTATAAACCATATTGGTAAAATTTACTTTAGAAAGTAGTGAGTAGTTTATTTTAACCTGAGAGTCACACCCATTTACTGAAATGTCTTAATAACAAGCCTATTTTCAGTTTTGGACTATTAATATAATACATTAAAGTTTGTGGGGTTTTGTTGTTGTTGTTAATCCTGACCTGAGGATATTTTTTATTGACTTTTAGAGAGAGTGGGAGGGATGGGTAGAGACTGAGAGAGAGAAACATTGATGTAAGAAGGACACATCAATTGGTTGCCTCCCTCACACCCCCGCTCCCAGGACCTGCAATCGAGGTACGTGACCTTGACATGAATTGAACCCGAAACCCCTCAGCCCTAACCACTGAGCCCAACCAGCGAGGACACACTGCAAAGAGTGTAAAGTTAAAATGGAACTCTCTCTCCAGTGATCTCATTCCTTTGGAGAATGAATATGGAGTATGCACACTATTAACATGTTTATTCATCCAGATTTTTTTCTATGCAATAAATTATAACAGGTGAAAAAAATAGATATTTCTAAAGTATTGGGAAATTTGACTGTCAAACCTCTTCTTTGAGTGATGATAGCCAGGAGAATCTTTAGTTACCCAAAGATTGCCAACAGTGCAGGATTGCATTCCTCTCTTGTTATCAGTGGTCTGTTGTGCTTCTTTGACACAGCAGTATAAGAGTAGCCAGATACAGAGAACATATCTAGTCAACCCCTTCCAAGTCCTGTTGATAAAAGTGAGAGTTGAAAACTCTGAAACAATCACATTATCAAAATTTGGTCATTACTCTTCACAAGGCTTTAGCACATCCTAGAACTTCATGACACCCCATGTTGGGTATTACCATCAGGGAGGCCTTCAACATACCCCATTTCCCAGCTGGTCCTCTCATTCTATTGATGTCTAAGAGACCATGGCAACTCTGACCAAACATGCATGTAAAAAAAATAGGCTAATACTTATTCCTTCAATGAGTATTTTTGAAAACCTACTTTATGTCAATGAACATTTAGAAAGGAATACCCTGAGAGGACATCAAGGCCAAAATTCTCATTTCATAGATAAGAAAATTGAGGTTCAAGAAGTGAAGGTTTTTTCAAAATTACACAGTTGACTGGTTAAGAAGAGTTAACTCAGGACCTGGGTCTGTATCCAGATTAAGGGACTACAACATGGAAGGGAGCTTCTAGGAGATGTAAGCTCCCCAAGAAAATAGACCATTTGAAAAAAAGACAACATTTTAAGATAAATATAAAAAATGTAGCATGATTAGGTACTTAACAATCCTTTATGACTTATGAGAAATTACTACTGAGAGAAGAAAAATAGAGCAACATACAAAAAACACAAAAGGCAGGATTAAAAATCTAGTCTCCTTTTTGAGTCTCTTATAAGCCCATGTAAACTGATCATGTTTTAGATCTAAAGACTTTCCAAGAGACAGGACAAAACCCAATGCAAAATTCTAGGAGGACATGAATGGCCTGCTGCATTTAGCGTCTTGGATCAGGCTCTCTTCTCACTTATATAAAGGATTAAATTATGCTGACATATTTCTATTCTAATGCTCTCTTTATGGCACATCTTAGTATGCAAATGCATAATCTTTGGGATAAAAATATCATAGAATAAGAGCTAATGGAGATTTTAATTCACATCTTAAATGACCTTACTGAATTTTCTTACCTGATTTTGACATTGTCATACTCCCTGAGTTAACAAATATTCAATTCACAAATACCCAGGATATAAAAATAGACAGACAACTATTTTAAAAATAAACTTTTGGAAAGAATTTCTTTTTTTGTTAGTTGGAGTCTGGTCTTATGTGAAAGGCATAGGAAAGAGTTTTTAAATTTTTTTTTTAATTTTTAGTTTGCCTTTCAGTACAGCAGGCTTATGAGACGTAGGCACTTATGAGATTTATGAGACTTAATCTTTTTTGTTGTTGTTAATCCTCACCCAAGTATATTTTTCCATTGGTTTTTAGAGAGAGTAGAAGGGAGGAGATGAGACCAAGAGAGAGAAACTTTGATCACATCAATTGGTTGCCTCCTACACGTGGGGATCGAGCCTGCAACCTAATGCATGCCCTTGATCAGAATTGAACCCAAGACTTCAGACACCCTATCCACTGAGCCAAACCAGCTAGGCTGAGACTTACTCTTATATGACTTGTACATATGTAACACTAGTGAACACTTTTGGAGGAAATACATTAGAAAGTCTTTAATTTTTTTTCAATTTTAGTTTATCATTTCCATCTAATCCTTCTATTAGCAAACACTGTCTGATAAGAAATCAGTATCCAAAGTATATAAAGAACTCATACAATTCAAAAGAAAAAACCAACAATTTGATTTAAAATTGGGCATAGGATCCAAATAAACTTTTTTTTCCAAAGAAAACATAACAGATTGTCAACAGGTACACAAAAAGGGGCTCAACATCACAACTCATCATGGAAATGCAAACTGAATATCTGTTAGAATGGTAATTATCAAAAAGATGAGAAATAACAAGTGTTGGTGAGGATGTGGAGAAAATATATATTGGTATATATATTTATTTCCACCAACATTTCCACTGTTGGTGGAAATGTAAATTGGTGCAGCCACTAGGGGAAACAATATGGAGGTTCCTCAAAACATTAAAAATAAAACTACCGCATGATCCAGCAATCCCACTTCTGGGTATTTATCCATAGGAAATGACACACTAGCTTGAAAAGATATCTGCACACTCATGTTGTTGCAGCACTATTTATAATTTCTAAGATATGGTAACAACCTATGTGTCCATCAATGAATAAATGGGTAAAGAAATGGTGGTAAATATATAATGAAATATTACTCAGCCATAAAAAAGAAGGAAATCTTACCATTTGTAACAACATGGATGGACCTTGAAGGTATTATACTAAGTGAAATAAGTCAGACAGAGAAAGACAAATACCATATGCTCTCACTTATATGTGGAATCTAATTTAAAACACACACACACACAAAAAAAACAAGATCATAGATACAGATAACAGATTGGTGGTTGTCAGCAGTAGGGGCCTGGGGAGAGCCAAATGGGTGAAGGTGGTTAACTGTATAAACTTCCAGTTATAAAATAAATAAGTCCTGGGAATGTAATATACAGTGTATTGACTATAGTTAATAACATTGTATCATATAATTAAAAGTTGCTAGGAGAATAAATATTATGTTATCACCATAAGAAAAATTAAAATTGTAACTATGTAAAGTAATGGATGTTAACTAGACTTATTGTAGTTATCATCTCCCAAATATAAATATAGTGAATCATTATGTTGTACACCTAAAACAAAACTACTATAATGCTATATGTAAATTCTCTTATATAATAAAAGGGTAATATGCAAATTGACCCTAATGGCAGAACAACCAGAATGACCTCTCGACCAGTCACTATGAGGTGTACTGACCACCTCTTGGTTCTTCCCCCCGTCCAGCAGGCTCCTATTGCTTGATGGCAACAGGGGTGGGTGGCGGCGGGGGGCAGGGCCGGCTTCTGGCAGCCAGGGAAGATGGCCCTGATCGCAGGTCAGGCCTAGGGATCATACCCGCGCACGAATTTTGTGCGCCAGGCCTCTAGTATCATAATAAAAACCTCTGATGATTTCTATTTGTTTACCTTGACTTCAAGAAAGTGTAGCTGCCCATGTTGTTTAATGAAATAAATATAACAGAATTTCATTAAAATAAAGAAATCATTGGTACATTTATTTAAAATATAGTAGCCTCTTAAATCTCCAATATTTTGCTAACTGATGTTAATTGGTTGACATAGACAATTGGGTAAGTGTTCTCACTCTGATGCCGTCTTTGAATTAGAAAGCTGTCTTTGGATTCAGTGAAGTTATTTGTATCTACATAATCTATCTCCTGGGTTTTTCCAGCTCCTTTAAGCAGGACCATCTGCATTAGATTTTACTAAGTCTATATGGCAATAACTTTAGTCCTACTAGATAGCCACATAAATAATCTATACCAGGGGTCCTCAAACTCTTTAAACAGGGGGCCAGTTCACTGTCCCTCAGACCGTAGAGGGCCGGACTATAGTTTAAAAAAAAAACTATGAACAAATTCCTATGCACACTGCACATATCTTATTTTGAAGTAAAAAACAAAAAGGGAACAAATACAATATTTGTATTTGCATGTGGCCCACAGGCCGTAGTTTGAGGACCCCTGATCTATACTAATTTTCTCCTTGAGGGTTTAGTGGATAATATTTCTACAATAAAGGTTGTGGTTTTAGAAATTTCAAGATAATTAAAACCATATTTAACTGTAAATATAAATAGCCTGATGAAATCCTATATAAAGAGCTAATATGCTAATTAGACCGAACAGTCAAACAACCACCCAGACATCCTTCCAGACAACCATTTGGATGACCTTCCAGATGAAGCCGGGGCTGCAAGAATCAGCCAAGGCTGCAAGGTGCTGAGAGGGCTGGCCGAGGCAGCTGGAGCTGCGAGGGCTGAGCCCCTTGCACAAATTTCATGCATTGGGCCTCTAGTATTGTATATTATGAAGAGACAGAAGGATTATGTACTAAAGGTAAGAATGCCTGAATTGGAATCCTCTATTTGGCACACATAAGCAGATCTTGTGAATTTGGAGATGTCTTTTGGCATCTTTGAGTTTTTTACCTGCTAAAAATGATAATTATAACTCTGATTTCTTCAAAATGATATTGTTGTAAAGATAAATGAGCTGGTTAAACATCAAAAAGTTTCACAAAGTGCTATTCAAAATCAGAAATACAGTAATAAGCCTGGCCAGTGTTGTTCAGTGGTTGACTGTCGACCTATGAACCAGGAGTCACAGTTATCCAATCAGGGCACATGTCCACATTGCAGGCTCAATTCCTGTAGGGGGCGTGAAGAAGGCAGCCAATCAATGATTCTCCCTCATCATTGATGTTTCTTTCTCCCTCTTCTTTCCTCTTCAAAATCAATAAAAAGAAAGAAAGAAGCAATAAAATATTTGTAAAAAATGCAAAGTAATATTTTATTTTCTTTCTTTCACCCAAACTAGAGGTTTAATATATATATTTATTTTAATTTATTTTATTGAAACTTGGCTACACAACTCAGATTTCAGATAACTATTTTCATTGTCTCGTCTGGTTCTAAGAAGGCAATATTGTTTATAGGATAGCATGCATATGTTCACTCCATTAAGAATTTTAACCAGCTTCTGTAATATGTGTTAAGGGAGGGGCAGGGAGGGAGGAGAAAACAGTAGGCACAGAGTTGTCACTTTACTAATAAAACATTTACTAAATACCTTTTGGGTAAAATATAGAGAAGGCTATTCTACCAAAATTTAGGATGACCATCTTGAAGAGAAATTTTTTTTAAAATAAATGAAAAGAAATGAAACTTGTAAGATAATCAAAGAAACGTTTCCAGGCTCCAGCAAAGTCTTTTCTCCATTCAGTCAAGAAGGATATACTCAGAACTTGCTTAAAAGAAAAGGAAGAGCTATTAAAACAGTAAGAATTATTGATGTGAAAGATTATAAAAATGGTGTCAAGGAAGTAAATCAGGCAAGGAAGATAAAGCGTTCTTAAGGGAGAGAGAAATTGAAAATTCTTACAAAAAAAGAGAAAGGTAATGAGCTAGGGAACTTCAGACATCCCTGAGGTTACATGTTAAAGAAAGAGATATTTATGTCGGTGTCT